CTAGAAGTTGACAGTGATCTTCTTGCCCAGGGTAAAGCTTTGAATGAGACAAGAGTCCATTTGGGAAAATAAAACAAGGAATATCTCTCTTCTCTACTGGGGACAGAAACACAAAGTAATTCAGGTGGCTTGAATTTATGCCTCCTGTTTGAAAATGTCCTTCTTGTGCAGCTACTTCCCTTTGCTTCAGATATTTTCTGTTGCAGCATAACCCTGCGAGAGGGTTACTGGGGAGGACACATGTTCTTTTTCTTTAAACGCAGGTCCAGCTGCCCAGTAAACATGACAATATGCCGTGGGAGACCTGATATTCTTCGAGGGAGTCTTGTGAGGAGCACAGCTGCAGAAGGGAGGCCTGTGAAGCCAGCAGCCGACCTGCTGAGATCAGAGCTGTGGTTAAGGGAAACCTGGCCAGTGCCTTCTGGGGGTAAAACTCCTCCTCACCGTCCCGGTGGCTGTGCCCTGCCTGCTTTCTCCGCCCGCCCCAGCCCTTCAGTCAGCCCAGGTTGGAGGCTGCTTGCGTTCCTGGGAGGAAAGGACAGGTTTCTCCTCTGCTCACTCTGCTTGTGGTTGTTGTTCAGTCATTAAGTGGTGTCTGACTGTTTGCACTGCCATGGACTGTAGCATGTCAAGCTTCCCTGTCCCTCACTATCTCCTGGAGTTTGCTCAGATTCATGTCCATTGTGTCGGTGATGTTATCTAAACATCTCATCCTCTGTCACTCCCTGCTCCTCCTGCCCTCAGCCTTTCCCAGCATCAGGATCTTTTCTAATGAGTTGGCTTTTCGCATCAGATGGCCAAAGAACTGGAGAACAGTCCTTCCAGTCAGTGAATTCCTCCTGTGAACCAACCCTCTCAAAGAACAGGGAGCCTCTACAATGCTCCTGAGGCTCCGGAGACCAAGTAGGTGACTTAACACTCCAATCCACTGGCAGAGTTTCGGGAACAAATCAAAGACTTTAGAACTGGAAGGAAGTTTAAAGCCTTAAAAAAAAAAATACAGTCTTCTCATTTTATATGTGAAGAATTGAGATTGTGTGAGAGCCTTGAAGCTAATTAGTGCCAGAGAAATGGGACAAGAACCCAAGTGTCTTGAGCAGGATTTTTGCAAAGGCGAGAGAGAGCGAGTGATTATCTCAGGAGATATGTGATGTGGATGCTGCCTCCAGGCCAGGGCTCATTCCTCTGTACAGTTACTAAGCAATGTTGGTAGGAAACATAATTTTAGATGGGGTGACTTGGGGCTTCATATTTAAAGAAATGAATTATTGTGAGTCTGTCATGTGCAAACGAGTGCCAAACACTTCTCTTCACACTGTTTTATAAAACAATCATAAGCCCCGCAGCTTTTCCTTATTGGGCTGTGTCCTTAACTGAACTCATGGAGGCACTTCATCTTCTGTCCCTTTGAGTGGCTCACTCACACAGTGAGGAAGCTATACTTGAAATCTTGAATTCTCTGGCCCATATTTAGGGATGGTTCTCTTTCTGGTAGATATTCTTTATCTGAGTCTTAAGACTAGGCAGCTGGGTATCCATTTAACAGGAAGACCTAAATTTCATCCCTTCCAGGCATAGTGCCCAACTTGCAAAATGGGAATCCTTGCAACTCTTTCTTGCATTTGGCCTGATCTATCTTGTGTAGTCGCAGTAAATTTATATAAAGCAAAGCGTGTTTGGGAAGCAGAAACAGACAAAAACACTTCATTCTTAGCATCCTGAAAGCAAATTGCATTGCTTTAGTTCTGCTCACCATGAATGCATAGAGTAACAGGCTGTAGATATTGGCTCTATGAAAGTTTTAAAGTAGGTGAATTTTTACAAAGTTGTGTACCTATTATGTGCCAGGCATTTTTTTTTTTCCATTCTCCTTCTGGTTGGCATCTATCATAAAAACTTTATTTTGGGGAAAGAATTTGATTGGTTATTTATATTTTAGTTTATGCATTTATTTACCCAGTGACTATTTCATGAGCAACTACTATGTGCCTGACACTATGCTATTTGTTTGGATACAATAGGGGGAAAAAAATTAGACAAATTCATGCCTTTATGAAGCCATGAGAGAAACTAGTGATAGACACAATATAACAAAATAAATAAATGTAAGATAACAACTTGAGGATAACTGTGAAAGAAATATGCAAATTGCTAGGAGACAGGGGACTAGACCTGGCTGTAAAAGCCAAGGGAAGCTTCCCTGTAAAATGATACTTGAACAGAAATGTGAAGCAGTCAGACTTATCAAGAAGGGAAGAGTGAGTCAAGTCAGGAAAATAGTATATATAAAGGCTCTGTAATAGTGAGGGGTCAAAGGGGTATAGTTTGGCCGCCTGATGAAGAGCTGACTCACTGGAAAAGATCCTGATGCTGGGAAAGATTGAGAGTAGGAGGAGAAGGGGGCAACAGAGGGTGAGATGGTTGGATGGCATCACCGACTCAATGGACATGAGTTTGAGAAAACTCCAGGAGATAGTAAAGGACAGGGAAGCCTGGCGTGCTGCAGTCCATGCGACTGCAAAGAGCTGGACTTGACTTAGCGATGGAGCAACAACAAATGGGTATAGCACATATTATATTTTTGCTTTTGCTGTAATGTGGTGAATAAGTTTGTTTGTGGTTAGAAGGGATACAGGTAGACTTGTTAGGAGGTTATTAGAATAGACAAAGTTTGGGTAAAGAAGGTGAAGAAGATGTAGAGGAACAGACAGTTTTGACAGAATTGGGGGATAGATTGGGCACGGAGGTGAAGGGAGGTCACTTCTGGCTTTGAGGTTGGTTCTACTGGATGACTAGTTCATTGAGATGGGAACCAAGGAAGAAAACCAGGTTAGGAGTATTGGTGGGTATGGGGAATGATGAGAGCTTGAATTCATTAAGCTTGGGCGCCTTCAAGAATCCTAAGAGGACAAACTTGCCAGTTGTATAATCAGGTTTGAAGCCTGAGGAGACAGAGGCTTGGGCTGGAGATCATGTGTTGTGAGTCATCTGTGTTTGGATAGTAGTGAAGAAATTGAGTAGAGATGAGAGCACCTGGGAAGACAATATTTTCGATTGGATTTAAATAGATGCTTTGCTTTCCTCTGGGGATGTGCCCGCTGAGCCTTTTCTAAGCACAGAAGAAAGCTCTTTGTTTCCTGAGCGAGGTCTTTGTGGTTTTAGAGCAGGTGGACAAACTTATGAATTGGGCAGAAATGTCCCTAAACTTATGCCACATAGGTGGATCCTCCTGGGCTTTTTGAAAAGTTAACCAAAAAGGCTTGAAAACTATTTTTAAAATCCTTAAGAAAAATCAACTTGTAGCTATCTTCTTGGGAAGTGGATAGTACATCTGGAGAGGACAGGTAAAATGCAAATGTCTATAGAGCAAATTAAATTCTGTGTTGGCAAAAAAAAACTGATTAAAATGATCAGAGATGTCCTTTCAATCTAAGACAGTTTGAAGATTTTTTTTATGTGAAGACTAAATTAATCTAAAGCAACCCGACTGACTTGTAGTGAATTAAAAGTGCTTATTTTCATTCTATGTCAATGGGTTTACATTCCTTCAAAAGATAAACTTTATTTATTTATGTTTATTTGTTGTATTTTTGGCTGCACTGCGTCTTAGCTGTGGCATGCAGGATCTTCACTGTGGCGCGTGCCTTCTCTTTAGTTGTGGCTCACGGGCTCTTTATTTTGCAGCACTCGAGCTTCATAGTTGCCCCGTGGCATGCGGGATCTTAGTTCCCTAATCAGGAATTGAACCTGTGACCCCTGCATGGGAAGGTGGATTCTTAACCACTGCACCTTCAGGAAAGTCCAGTAAGCTGTATTTATATATTTATTTATTTTTATTTTTGGCTGTGCTGCGGGGCTTGTGGGATCTTACTTCCCCAACCAGGGATTGGACCCAGCCTGGCAGTGAAACACCATGTCCTAAGCACTGAACCACCAGGAAATTCCCAAAATGTAAGCTTTAATAGCCAGCGTAGGTGAAAAGGCTGTGATTCTTCCTTAGGGTTCTTACTCTCACCTTATCTGCCAATGAGTGATTGAATAGTCCTTTCCTGATTTGTTCCTTTGTTCCCAGGGCATGTGGAACTTCCCTGACCAGGATTGAATCTGCACCCCTGCCGTAGAAATGTGGAGTCTGGACCCACTGGACCAGCAGGGAAGCCCACCTCTGATCTTTTTTATTGTCTCTATAGTTTTGCCTTTTCCATGGTGTCACGTAATTGGAATCATCTAGCAGGCAGTCTTTTCAAACTGGCTTCTTTGACTTAGCAATATGCATTTATGATTAAGAGTCCTCTATGTTTTTTTGTGGCTTGAGAGCTCATTTCTTCTTATGCTGAATAATACAATCATACAATTGTATTATGTTTTATTATACAATAAAACAATCATACAGGTGTGCCATACTTTGTTTATTCACCTATTGAAGAACATGTTGGTTATTTCTAAGTTTTGACAATTACGCATTCGTGTTCTGGTTTTTATGTGGACATGATTTCCAGCTAATTTGGTTTTCAGCTAATGCTAAGGAGCATGACTGCCAGATCATATGGTTAAGAGTAGGCTTAGTTTCTTTTCTTTCTTTTTTTAAAAATGTTTTTATTGAAATATAGTTGATTTACAATCAACGTTGTATTAATTTCAGGTGTACAGCCAGGTGATTCAGATATACATATGTCTTTTTTTCAGATTCTTTTCCCTTATAGATTATTACAAGTCACTGAGTATCATTCCCTGTGCTATACAGTAGGTCCTTGTGGGTTATCTATTTTATATATAGCAGTGTGTATGATTAATCCCAAACTCCTAATTCATCTCTTTCCCCTCCACCCCCTCAAGAGTAGGCCTAGTTCTGTAAGAAACTGCTAAAGTGTCCTTCAAATTGGTTGTATCATTTTGTATTCCTATCAGCAAAATGAATGAGAATTGTTATAGTACTTAAAAAAAATCTAGCCGTTGTCCTTTGTCGTGGGGTCGTTGTTGGCTCCGAGGCCGCAGCATTCATGATGAACTTACTTCAGGTTGTGCGTGACCACTGGGTACATGTACTTGTCCCTATGGGATTTGTCTTTGGATATTATCTAGACAGGAAGAATGATGAAAAGCTAACTGCCTTCCGGAACAAGAGTCTGTTATATAAAAGGGAATTGAAACCTAATGAAGAAGTCACCTGGAAGTAATGGCTACAGCTGAATTACAGAATGTTCACATTTTTTAAATTATAAGAGAAATAAAAACACTCATTATTTTAAAAAAAATCTATTAGCAACCACATTTAAAAATAAATCTATGCATAAGCTATTTGTCTATAAAGAATAGCCATTGTTTGTTGTATATGAAGCATAGCCTCCCCCCTTTACTGATCATATTTTAATACTTTTTTTTCCCCCAGTGGATAGAGTTTCTCCTCACTGTGAAGGATCTGCCTATAGATAGATTCCTCCAGAATTCAATTTTTGACATTGAATCTTTGAATTCTTGACTAGTAGTGATGAGGAATTATTTTTTAAGTTTTAATAAAATCATATACTGCCCTCAACAACACCACATAGAACACAAGGCCACAGTCTGAGGTATTTGTTACCTGCCAGTAAAATCTTTTACCAGTCAATTTTGCATGTAGGCATAATTAACGTTAGCATGTAAAACAACCACAAAGACTTTGAGTGTGCTCAGCTGAGTTATTTTTAGGTTCATGCAAAATATTTTGTTAATGTAATTTTCAGGTTACTTATCTAAACATTCAAAGGAAAGACAAAGAGACCTTTCATGCTGCCACTGCAGGGCTCACCTGTCCCCTCCTTGCATCTATACTGGGAACTCCCAGGATTGTACCATAGAAACACATACATCCCTTTACTCATAGACTCATGAGCTAGAGGGTCTCTCAAAGGCATAAGCCTGACCCAATTTAGGTCATATGCAACACAGAATGCTTACTCTAATCTTCCAGAATTCCAGATTTTCTTTTCTAGTGAAATAGAAAAATTCACAAGCTTTTCCTTTTTCAAAGGAAGGAAGGCCAAACTGAACTTCTTTACCCACAGTTAGAGAATCGTTCCTTTGTGTTCTTCTGTTTCAAAAACACCAGGAGCATTTTTCTTAAATGTTCTCTCCATAACGACCACAAAATGGTAGTTATGTGAGGTGAAGGATGTGTTAACTAACCCTAGTGTGGGAAATAGTTTGCAATATATGCAAGTATCAAATCATCCCATTACATACCTTAAGCTTCCGTAATGTTGTACATTAATAATATCTCGGTAAAATTGCGGAAAATGTAAGTTCTTTACCTACATGAAGACAGGCTCCCTTTTCCCCATGACTTTTGTGTTATTATTTTAAAATAAGGCTTTCTTTTTACTCCTGGCCTTTTCTCTTATTCTTTTTTTTTTTAAATTCTCTTCCATTATGGTTTATTACAGGACTCTGAATGTAGTTCCCGGTGTTGTACAGTTTGACCTTGTTGTTTATCCTTTCTTCCCATAACAGTTTGCACCTGCTAAGGCCAAACTCGCAATGCATCCCCACTCCACCTCCCTCTGCCTGGGCCACCGCAGGTCTGTTCTCTGTCTGCGATTCTGTTTCATGGGTAAGTTCATCTGTATCATATTTTAGATTCCACATATAAGTGATATCATATGGTATCTATCGTTCCCCTCTGACTTAATTTGCTTAGTGTGATAATCTCTAGGTCCAACCATGTTGCTGTAAATGGCTTGATTTCATTCTTTTTTATGTCTGGGTAGTATTCTCTTATTCTTGAGCCTACATATTTGTTATCTTTCTAGATAATTTGATTTAACATTTATAGAGCTCCTATTACGTGCCAAGTTTTGGGTTAAGTTCTAGGAATCCCTTTAAGGAAACATTGAGGACAGGAGTTGGCAAACTTTTTCTGTAAAGGACCAGATAAATATTTCAGTTTTGGGGGCCTATCCAGTCTGCGTCACACTAGTCAACTTTCTAAGCAATTCAATTAACATTTAATAATGTAGTGCTAAGGCAGCCACAGACAGTAAGTCAAAGGATGGGCATGGCTGTGTGCCAATACACCTTTTTATAAAAGCAGGTTATGGACTCATAATGAAGGAAATTACTGGTACTGCTAAAATGAATTGGAATACAATGTAAAGAGTACTCTTTATCAGTAGTATACACATAATATGTGAACTCTAAAAGCAGTACAAACAACTTGAGATTGGAATACAGTAAAGGCAAGTAATTCATTTTATCTGGCTTTGTGAAGCAAGTTTTCATTTAGGAGGTGACTTAGGATTTAAAGGATTCCAGGAGGAAGAAAGGATTTTGCAAAGAGAATTCCAACTAGTGTGAACAAGGAATGTGAGCATGAAAGAACATGTCATGCTTGGGAAGTCTCAAGTTCTCCTTTTGTGGCTAAAACACAGTTTCTTTATAGGAAGATGTGGGTGAAAGGTATTCTGGAGCCAGACTGTCAGAGGCTCTGAGGCTGCCCTCTGGGAACTAGATTTCAGCTGAGGGTCAAGATTGGGACACCATCAGCTCTGTTTACAAATGCAATCTGTAGGTCTATTCCCGAGGAGGGCATTTTGGAGTAGGAGGGAGTTGAGGCAGGGAAATAAATTTTAAACCCATTTCTGTTGTCCAAGTGACAGGGGGTAGGGCTTGAACTGGACAGTGACTTTGGGATGGAGAAGAGAGGCTGTGGGAGATGAACTGGCAGGTCATAATGACTGAATGGTTGTTTCTAAAATTCTACGACTGTCACTGGATGGTTGTGTGCTGGTCATGTAGGGTTCAGGTTGCTCTTGGATCCCTTCCCTGCCCTTCCTTGCTGGGCATCTCAGGTAACTGACCCCGTCAAACTTCTGTGCGCGTCTCCCTTTCCTCTTGGCCCCTGGTTGGGTGCAGCCAAGTCGGAGGTGGGAGGAGGAGAGAAGCCGCGCCTGTTCTCCCCTCTCTGCCTGTCCCCATGGCACCAGCTGCCGTGGTCCAAGGCTCCGGCTTCCACTCCGTGTCCTGGCTCTCCGGCTCTCTAACCCCTCCTTTTCTGCACCCTTTCGGTGTCAGTGGTAATAGAGGCTTCCTGCTGCTCTAATCTGTCCCTGGGTTGCCTCACCTTTCTCTGTTTTCTCTTTCAGTTTTTCTGATCTGTTTGTAACCAGTTCCCCTCGGTTGAACTAATTAATATAAGTTCTATTTTTCTAACCAGATCCTAGCTGATAGAGATGTAATGATTAAACTAGTTGGGCATACAGGGGTTTAAGTTAGGAAAGGAAGACAATTCAGTTTTCAATCTGACTCATGGTTTGATAGAAAGTCCCTATGGTATCTGTGATGACCTTCATCCCTGCTTGCTCTCGAGCAGGGGTCCCTGACCCCTGGGATCTCCTGCCTGATGATCCGAGGTGGAGCTGATGTAATAATAATAGAGATAATGTGCACAGGAAATGCAGTGCACTGCAGTCACCCTGATATCACCCCCTCCCCCTTCCCTGTGGCACGTGGGAAAACTGTCCTCCACAAAACCAGTCCCTGGTACCAAAATGGTTGGGGACCGCTGCTCTAGACCATTCATTGCGAAGCTAGTCCGAATATTTTTTTTAAAAACCTGAGCATATCATATTCTTCCCTACTTAAAACCTTCCAGGGACTTTTCGTTGTACCTAGAATGAAAGCTAAACTCCTATATGAGCTTCTACTTGCACCTACTTGTCTCTCTCTCCTCACTTCCTGTCCAGCCTGGCCCCCTTGCTGGTCCTCAGACTCACTGAGTTAACTTCTGTCTCGGGGCCTTTGCACTTCTCTCTTCCTGCTGGAAATGCTCCTGCTCCCCTCTCCACGTGCTGTTTTCCTGCAGGTCTCTGTGTTTGTGCCACCTCTTCAGAGATCCCACTGCCAGTTACCTCCTTACTTGTTTCTGTTCTTCATCACATGCATCACTCTATGGAATTTTGTCCTTTACATATTTCTACTTCTTTAAAGCTTAACAGTAAAAAACATTTGCCTCCTTCACCTTACTATTCTTAGCACCTACATGCAGCCTGGCGTATAATTAAGGACAGCATGCATGTGTGCATGTGTGCATGCTGTTGCTTTAGTCATGTCCGACTCTGAGATATCGTGAAATGTAGCCCACCAGGCTCCTCTGTCCACAGGATTTTTCTGGCAAAAATAGTAGACTGGGTTGCCATGCCCTCCTCCAGGGGATCTTCCCAACCAAGGGATTGAACCCATGTCTTCTGCCTTGCAGGTGGATTCTTTACCACTGAGCCCCCCAGGAAGCCAAGGACAGTGTAAGAATTTGCTAATGAATAACAATGTTACCTTTATAAACTGTTGTATAGCACAGGTGCCTTATATACTTATTTATTTATTTTTGGCACCTGGATTGGGACTTGAACCCTGGACCCTTGGATTAAAAGTCTGATGCTTTACTAGCTGAGCTGCCCAGGCACTCTTATACAAGGTACTTTTTTTTTTTTTTTATTACTTTGCTTATTATTTTATTTTCATGCTATCTCTTCCTGAAATGCCCTCTCCCATTCCATCTTTACTGTTCTTCCAAAACAGTTGGAATCCTTTCGTCTGTGAAATGTTCCCTCCTTACTCCACACAGGGAATTGACTTCTTCCTTCTTTGGGGCCCATTGTACCCCAGCAAGACTGATATTTTATTGTAGTCACTTAATATTTATCTCCTTTTCCTAAATGGCAACGTCTAAAAGAGAAGTGGAGATCATGAATATTTTTACCTCCATAGTAATTCACAGTATTCAATCTGTAGAATAGTGCGTGACGCATTATTGCATTTGGTAAATATTTGTTAAGTGAGTGAATGAAGTAGGAGATACAGATTTTCCGGTTTCACATTTCTACTTGTTTCCATGCTCTATGGATCACTGGGAAGGAAAATAGTCCCAAATCTGTAAAATGGGGATGATAGTCCCAACCTCACACTGTTTGTGGACATGACTAAAGTAATGGAATGAATAATCTTAGGAGATTATAAAAATAACATGAGTAAAACCTGCCTTTTGTGTATTACAGGAAAAGGGCTTCTTCCATTGACTAGAATCCTTGTCAAGACTGATACGAATATCAGTCTTACCTGAGAGTTGTCTATAAGAAACCTTAAACTTTCTAGAATTTTCAAGATGATTTGTGAAGAACGTCCTGAAGGAGGTATAGTTGCGGTA